TCTATTATTAAGCCAGAGCAATTCTTGGAGGGTTAAATATGGATAGATTGAGTGTTGTTGGTTTGCCCAACGCAAATGGAAAAGGTGCTACTAGTGTAAACGAGCCCAAATAGTGTCCGACCCACTAAACACTCAACCACCAGGTTACTTTCTCTACACCTAATATAAGAGTGAAATGGGAAAGGTGCTTCCCCCATTACAAAATCCTTGCATCCATAGCAAAAGTAGGAAGGGTAGATTCGTCTTCACAATCATTTATTATTTTCTTATTTACAAGAAAAATACATAAGTGATGGGATTTGAATGATATCTTTGAGAAAAGACAACAAACATAACCAGTTAGACTAAACAAATTTGTTTAAACCTTTTAAATTAAAAACATACAGGAAACTTAAATCTGGAAAATAATTGGAATTTTCCATCACAGTTAGCTAAGCCACTAACTCTCCACTAAATATTTTGTTGGTATTTGATGCTTCTATTTTCATACTTTGATTATTTTAATTAGAGTTTAATAATTAATTATATTTCTATTTATCTTATAGAAGGAGAATAATTTTAAAATCACAAGCCTAATGTCATTGGTGCAAATATTGCATATCGAATTGCAGTATTAAATGTGTAGAAGCGATGCAAAATTCTTGACATAGACTTAAATAATATAACTACCATAAAGCAACAATATTTTTGAACATAGAAGTTTTGAGTGAATATGTGTAACATGTGTCTTTAAGAGAGGGGTAAATATGGAAATGTTGAGTGATGTTGATTTGTCGAATGCGGATTGAAAAGCGGCAAATAATGTAAATAGGTCTAAATGGTGTCCCGACCTATGTACTAAAAGCTCTCATCGCCGTCTCTCCAAACCTTCCCACTGAGCTCGACAACCGCCTAACCTCCTCCACCTATATTGTTACGCAAAGAAATTTTGGAGTGTTAAATATGGAAAGATTGAATGTTCTTGCTTGAAGAGCTGACTGGTGGGTTATTTAGTTTATTTGACAGTAATGTGTGATCTCTTAACATCATTTCATTTGGTTGATCTTCTAGGTTGACTTTTGAGTTGATTAAAGATAAACAGTGCCCCAGGCTCCCGTCCTACTAAAGGCTCAACCATCACCGTCTCCCAAACCTTCCCATCGGACTCGACAACCGCCTAACCTCCTCCACCTATATTGTTACGCAAAGCAATTTTCGGAGGGTTAAATATGGAAAGATTGAATGTTCTTGCTTGGAGAGCTGACTGGTGGGTTATATAGTTTATTTGACAGTAATGTGTGATCTCTTAATATCAGTTCATTTGGTTGATCTTCTAGGTTGACTTTTGAGTTGATTAAAGATAAATAACTATACTTTTTGTTGCTTTTGTTATAATACTCCTTTTTAGTATCATCATTTTTCTGATTTGAAATGTTTTGGTGGTTAGTTTGCAGTAAACAAAAACTATTCTGATTAGTGTTAAAATAGGGAATAGCTTCAATCATATCACTTTTACACAAAATTATATGCAAGACCTGAGATCATTGCCGAATTGAACTATTCAACCTATAATGTTGATCTTCAACATATAAAACATAGTTTCTTTTGAATGAAATAACCTCATGATTGCAGGAAGGAAAAAAAACCTTTCCCTATTTCAAATGTACTGCTCCAGGAGCGTTTGTAGGAGGGTATAATAGGGAGTGTCAATTTGTTTTCTCTTTCCTCTGTGGAACGGGCCAACTTACCGTACACGTGCGGACTTGAACGGGCCCATGGATTGTTGGGGCCCACAAAAACAGAACAGGTTTCAGCCACGGCCGCATATGTTTCGTGCCTCCATAACGATCGCCATAACCGAGTCTTGGATTGTTCCGATGCTGGATCTGGACTCCACCCACGCCGGGAATAAATGAAATAAATATAGAAAGTGAGCTTCATAATTGTTTACAAAATAATTTCCCCAATCCTTCTTCCGTGTGCTAATCGCCTAATCCCTTCCCTATGAAAATAAATCTAGTCATGCAAATGAAGAAGGTTTGGTAAATTGCATGCAAGTAAAATTCAAAGATCGAGTCATCTAATCAAATCGTTATCAACCACCCCTTTTTCCATCATTCGCAAGCTCTAACAAATAAGTGACAAAGAAATCCAAAATATCGCTTCACTGTAACAATACAGTATTATTGAAGATTGGTGGCTTTCTCTTCTTCTTCGTTAAACTAGCGTCGAAGATATACAAAGAGGGGTTTAAACAAGTGATAAGAGAAGTGAAGATTAAGAAATGAAAAATAGAGACCGAGAGGGGGAGTTGAAATTGAGGTTCGGGGGGAGGATGACATGCAGGGAAAAGGTTTGTAGAGCTAAAATTAATGGCAGGAAAACATGGATGGGGAGAAGTGACTACCGACTAGGGGTGGGCATTCGGTCGGTTCGGTTCAAACCGAACCGAAATTATGCATACCGGGTCTCCGAATTCTATCAAACCTTAAACCGAATTCGAACCGAATTATAGTTCGGTTCGGTCGGTTCAAACCGAATTATAATTCGGTTCGGTTCGGTTTTTCATACAAAACCAAAATAGTGAGGTTAGCTTGTATCTTCTCTTTTTTAAATTATTTTTCACCCATAATGTAAACAATAAATATGCATCATCAATAATAAAATCAAACATTTCAACACATAAGTCATAAAACACTAACATGATTCAAATATTTAAGTCTCATAATAAGTAGAAACATAAAAATCCACCATTTAAAGCTTGCAATTATAATAATTCGGTTTTTCGGTTCGGAATTCGGAAATTCGGTTCGGTCGAAAGGACCCTGATTTCCGAAATATGCCCTTTTCTCTTCCGAATTCCGAACCGAATAACATTAATTCGGTTTCGGTTCGGTTTATATTCGGTTCGGTTAGGTTCGGTTCGGTTTTACCGAACCGTATGCCCACCCCTACTACCGACAACGATATAATTGAGATAGAGAGAGAGAAGTGAATCATGAGTCGGAGAGCATTGATAAGCTTTTTTTAGGGGATATAGGGTTTTCTTTAAGCCCTTTTATTTCTCGCTGTTGGTAAGATATATATGAAAGGGCAAAAACAATACTCATTTTTTATTGCTAAAAAGAAAAAAATTTAACAATAAACTAATGCATGGATTCTAATGGGCTAACCGCTAAGCATAGAATTCAAGAGTTGAATGGGCTTGACCCATACGACATTTGGCCATCAAGTAAAACAAATGAACATCATGGGTTTGCCATCCTAAAACATGCTATTTTCTCTAGCATAACATATATTATGCTATTATTTTATATCTTAGTGGCTAAAATATAATGTATTTTAAAGTTATTAAATGGTTCGACCTCGACCAACTAGATTAGTCCAATTTTTATAATTTCAAATGTATATTATGTGATTATTTGATATCCTAATGATTAAATTATAGTGTATTTTATAGGCGATTTTTATTCGGTTTCCTGGAATTCGGTTTCTATCAAACTTACTCCACATCATCATATTATAAGAAATAATACTGTTTCACAAGGTAACAAGTACTCGAACTTGGTTCATAAAGCTAATTTTTGATTCGTTGCATCATCCATGTCTCTTTCCTGCTAAAATTCACTATATTTATCACGTGTTTCCAAGAAAAAACTATACAACAATAAGTTATACACTCTATTACATTATAAAATTTCATAACTCACCTTCCTCCGGCCAACTGGCCGGGACCACACTAGTATAAACTAGATGACTGCCAAATGATGATCGAGTTTGGAATGCTGCCTTTTTATAATTTTATTACGGCCTAAAAAATATAAGTGATCACTCTGTCAGGTTTTGAAGATTGAATTACTATTTTGGTACATTAAGTAGGGGTGGAAATTGGGGTGGGTGTGGTTACCCGCCCCACATTTTGCAGGTAACCACACTCACAAAAATAGAATTATGCTACCCACAACCCGCCCCGCAGTGGGTAGGTGCAGGTTGGATGTGGATACCCACAAAAATATCGTTCTTTCACCCTTCGGATTCGTATATGATAAATCTATCGGTCAAGTGACGGGAAAAAACACACATTGAGTTAAAAATAAGTAAAGAAGCCCAAGACATGGAACAAGCAAGAATCCGGTATTCGAAACCTCCTAAGCAGTCAACCTCCCTCCCTCTCCTCGGTTCACTTCACTCGCTTACAGGTCATTTCACTTTCTTTAGGAAATGCATATTGATAACGAGTATGGGTTGGAGGGGATCTAATCTAAATATACATAGCATCTATATCAACGGCATGACTCATTTGCGTTTTTATTCGAATTTTTAAGGGATAAATGGAATTCTCTCCCTAGTTATGGAATTAGCGTCTTCTTACACAAAAACAAAACCTACATAAAAGAAATTTAATAAAGTGTTAAATAAACTATAAACCATATTTATTGACTTTTTTGTTATAAAATAAACACATACCAGGTCGACAATGCTTATTTAATAAAAGTATTATCTCATACGAACACGATGTATTGACTTGGTTTTATTTTATAAAATAAGTACATATTCGATTTTGGAGGTTACTTTAATTTGTAGCATTCTACTTTTCACATACTTTGATATTACAAATTATTATGAATAAATATACTTAGTGTGGTTATTGTGGGTTTTGTGGGTTAATCGTTGTGGATAGTGGTTAACCACTAACCATAAAAATTGATATTTTCCTACCCACACCCAACCCACTATCCACAAATTGTGGGTATGGTTATCCACAAATTAGGGAGGAGTTACGGTGCTAATTGTACAAGAGTTAGCACCGTCCTAACCAAGGGTTAGTAGTGATTTAGCTTAGATGTTGTATTGATTTTATAATAATCCGTAGTGATTTCGTTGTTTTTAATAGCGTTTTTGGTGCGGCTTGCGAATTATCCGGTTTGATGCGGTTTGCGAATAATCCCATCCCCACAAATTATATGGTTTGATGCGGTTTGCGAATTATCCGCAATCCGCAAACCAAACTTCCACCCCTAACATTGAGTATAGTTTAGTGACCACTATGAAATTCCTAGTCCTGACTCTTGTTCAACGGAAGTGACTCGGACTTTGGGGCGTGTTTGACGAACGACCCTTTAGTTCCCAGAGTCGGAATGTGGTAGTTGGTTCAGACTTCAGGCGACGGAGAAAGAAGAAGAAGGAAAATTTCCGGAGCGCGGTGGCGCGGTTGTCGTCGGGCGTGGGGAAGGAAAGGAATCCCAACATCTAAGAAGGTAACAGTAGTCTGCAATTAGGGGTTTTGGTGGAGAAGAAGCAACCTTGGGGGAATCTTTTGCCGCGCCCTGCTTCTTTTGGGGCGTTTGAGGATTTCCTCTTCGGCTCTTCCTTCAACCCCTCCATCAGTTCTATGTATTAAACCCAAATCACTCCTCCTTCCTCTTCCCTCTCCAACTCCAACATCACATCTCCGCCGCCGCCTCCGCCGCCGTACCTCCGGACCCGATCCGACCTGCCCATATGAAACCCCTCCGCCCCTTTTCCTACCTCCTATGCATCTTCTCGTTCCTAATCGCTGCAAGTGCAGTGCTCTGCTCCGCCGCTGCTGCCGACGGCGTAACGGCGGTGGTTCTTCCATCAGCAGCAGCTCCACCGTGGGCGGTTGACTTCAGTCATCGGTCTCCATCTGCCCGCTCTCTCAAATCCTTCTCCTCGTAAGCCCACTTTTACAGATACCCAAATCAAAATTCAGCTGCTTTTTTTCATTTTCTATGTTTACAGTTATGATTCAAATCTCCGGATTTTGTTGAATTCACCTTGTGCAGGGAATCGGAGGATGATTCTTCTTCTCCGGCTGAATTAGTTGCTCTGCTTAACGGCACTATTTGTCTCGAAGATCCCATCTCCGGGAAGGTTCTATGGTCCTTCTCATCTGGCTCTCCGATCTACTCTTCCTATCAATCCCCTTTTCTGGGCCAAGCCGCCGGCGATCAAGACAACAGCATTTTTGGACCCAATTCTGCTTTCTTCCTTGACTATGGAGACGACTGGCAGCTCTACGCCCACGGCAAACATTCTACCCGAATGGTAATTACTAATTTATCTCCTTTTTCTGCCACATTTAATCTTTCACTGATCACTTTTCATCGTTGTATTGTGTAACTCTTGAGCAGAAACTTCCCAAGGGTATCGACGACTTCATTAAGATAACACCGCATATTTCCGAGGATGGAACTGTAATCCTGGGCTCCAAGAAAACCACTGTGTTTGCTCTTGAGGCCAAGAGTGGGAACTTAGTTCGAACTTACAGCTCCCCTGATTCGTTACCACCACATCAGAGATATGGTGGTGGTGATGTGGAGAACAGTAATGTCCGACCAGCATCTAGCTCCAAAGATGCTGCTGTTGACATGATTTACGTCACGAGGACAGATTATGCGCTGGAAACTTTTGGTCCCAATTCGGATAAGGTATTTTGGAATGTGGAAGTGGCAACTGTGGAGGCTGCTTTTATTTGTAAGTATGATGCTGCAGTTGGGGACGGTGATTCTGTTGACACGTCGGATTTGCTTTGTCAATCAAAGCGGCTGGTAGTTCGAAGGCAGGATAAGCCGCCTCAAGCTTCAATCCCAGCTATTGATGGTGAAGAGAAGCTAATGCTTCCTAGTCCTAAATCTGGCTTTGCTTCTCCTACACAATCTGAAGGGTACAAGGTGTCAGATCTTGTTGCTGATTCTGAAGATACAGAAGGAATGCTTGGTTTGTCAAATGATCCTGGGGAAATTGTGCAGGAGGAAATACGAGTGCTCCACAGATTCAAGTGGTCAAAGTTTATATTTTTCGGTTTGTTTGCTATCACCTTTTCATTGGCCTTTGTGTTTTACCACCGTACGCTGCTGGCAACTGAGAAAGTATCGTTGAAAGGTCATTCTTTGTCTTCTAAAAAGAAGAGGAATAGAAGATTGGGGAAAAAGACTAACAGCGATGCAGATGTTAATGAGGATGGTAACAGAATGTGGTTGAATCTTAATCAACTTACTGATGATCATGATGTGAATGGGCGTAGAATAGGTAAGTTATATGTATCAGATACTGAGATTGCTAAGGGAAGTAATGGAACCATAGTGCTCGAGGGTATTTATGAAGGCAGGAGGGTTGCTGTTAAAAGGCTTGTCCAGGCTCATCATGATGTGGCGTTCAAAGAAGTTCAGAATCTCATTGCATCAGATAGGCATCCAAACATTGTTCGATGGTATGGTGTGGAGTATGATAAGGATTTTGTTTATCTGTCACTGGAACGGTGTACCTGCAGCTTGAATGATTTGGTCCAGATGTACTCCCGATCTTCACCTTCCTCTGCGAAAGAACCAGCTAGGGTAGCTGCAAAAAATAATTCAGTGTTGGTTTCAGTTGCGACTGCTATGAAGGACCTCAATTTGTGGAAAGAAAATGGTCATCCATCAGCTCTTCTCTTGGCACTCATGAGGTAATTGACTAATTGTTGCCGCAACTGAATTGATAGTTTGGATGGTTTTTATTTGTGATTGATTGTGGCAAATATAGAGATTCGCAAAAGCTATTTTGAAATCTATCAAATCGATTTGGTTTTAGTTAAAGCATTACCATGTTCTCATCGCCTCTTATGATTTGTACAACAGGGATATGGTATCTGGACTTGCACATTTGCATGAGCTAGGAATAATTCACAGGGACTTGAAGCCGCAAAATGTATTGATAAGCAAGGAAAGATCTTTGTGTGCAAAGCTTTCTGACATGGGCATAAGTAAGCGGCTGCTAGAAGATATGTCTTCGTTGGGCCATCAAGCAACTGGTGAGCTTTTATAGTTTAGTCTATGAAATGGAAATAATACCAGTTTAACACATATATGCTAATAGAAACAGTTTAATGACATTGTAGGATGCGGTAGCTCAGGTTGGCAAGCGCCTGAACAGCTTCTCCATGGCCGCCAAACACGTTCAGTGGATTTATTCGGCTTAGGCTGCGTCTTCTTTTTCTGCATCACTGGTGGTAGACACCCGTTCGGCGAACCACTCGAACGTGATATCAATATAGTGAAGAACCAAATCAATCTATACTTGTTAGAGCATCTCCCGGAGGCTGAGAATCTTATTTCCAGTTTATTAAACCCTGAACCTGAACTTAGGTATTATTTGCTGTGGAATCTTTCTTTCAGTCAGTGGCATTATCCTTGTATGAGCAGAAAAGTACCTGCATGCTTTCATGGTTGCTCAAAACTTATTCATTGACAATGTTGCCTCTATTTATGGTCAGACCAAAGGCGCACGAAGTTCTGCAGCATCCCATGTTCTGGAGTTCTGAGACGAGACTTTCATTTCTACGAGACACCAGTGACAGGGTGGAACTAGAAGATCGAGAGAGCAATTCCGATCTTTTGGCAGCATTGGAGAGCGTTGCACCGACGGTGCTGGGAGGCGGAAAATGGGATGAGAAGATGGAGCCCTCGTTCATTAACAACGTCGGCCGTTATCGTCGGTATAAGTATGACAGTGTGAGGGACTTGCTGCGCCTCATGCGCAACAAGCTGAATCACTACAGAGAGCTCCCTGAAGAAATCCAGGAGGTAGTTGGACCAGTTCCAGACGGCTATGATGGGTATTTCGCCACTCGATTCCCAAAGCTGTTGATCGAAGTTTACCAAGTTGCTCGGAGATACCTTGCAGAAGAGGAATGCTTTCGCAAGTACTTCGGAATGGTTTGATTTGGATTTCGAGGCGCTCTGTAGCTGCCATGGAGCCTGGAAGCAGCATGTGATTATATTATAGGTACTGTAAATAAGATCTGTAAGACTTCTAATGATACTGTAATCATATTTCAAGCAACTTCATCTAATATAATTTCCTTCAGCCTGATCCGATCTTGTGCACTGTCCTATATCCATCCACTGGCTGCTTTGAGTTGAATTGTATAGATGTGTGAATTGTAATGAAGAACGTGCCTTAGACTCCGTTCTCAATACCAATGTCCTTGTTTGTAGAGAACTCAACCTGTCTTCCTGCCTTGGAATCTTGAGTCTCCCCATTGCCAGCTTCGCGCTCGCTTCTGTTAGATGCTCTCTCAAGCGACCTCCTCCTGGACCGGCTTGCAACATTCTCCTCTTTCTCATCCACGAACGAAAAGAAAGTCTGAAGACGAGCAGATGCTGACGAGAGGGAGAGAGCAGCAGAGGAGGAAGAAGAAGAGTGGGACATGTCTGCCTGCTGGTGGCGGCTAAACTGTCTGGCAATGTTGAGAAAATATAGCAGGAGGGCTATCAGGCAAGCCAAGCCACATATGAGGAAGAGTCCCCAGAAGCTTGAGAGCTGAAGTCTGTCTACTTGAAAAGTCGTGGTTTGCGAGCTACAAGCGCTGCTCATCAGCCATTTATCATGAATCCTCTGAAGATCTCCGTTTTCGGACAGCTTGAGAATGGCAGTGGACAGATCAACTGCCAGTGGAGAGTCCCTCGGGAAGGCCTGCAGGCGCCATAGACAACATGTATTACAGAAACAGCAGCAGTACTTGCGAACAAAGAGTACTAGATAATAGTAGTAGTACTTACAAATCCCCAGCCGTTCTTGGTGAACTCTTGACCTACTATACTGAAGTCGCACCTGGTCGAAAGGAATAGTTCGAGATATGACTGTTCGTCGACTACAGCAGCAACGCCGCCTTTGTGAAGACCAGCTTTTAGGGCCCTTTCGCAGTCCTCGGGGCCCTTGAGTGGGACCATCCTGGATTCATGGAAACCAAGTTCGTCAACCAAGTAGTCCCGGGCGAATGAACCTTGTTGGTAACCAATGGGGTCGTTGCTAGTTCTCAGGGTCTCGATTCCTTTGATGGGTGAAGAAAGCTGCTGCACTGTTAAGATTGAGGTCAGGCTGGCCGTGTAGCTTGAGTTGATTATCAGAACAACGAACAGCCATATGATCAGCACGATCCGCCCCAAGGTGCTCACGGTGTTCTCTTCTGTACACATGAAAGGTTAGGAAGTTTGAAGAGGTTGGATGAGGAATACAGCACATTAATTTTGATTGCTTTCAAAATCCACTTACTGTGAGCGAAGAACAATGTTGAAAAGCTGAACCTGCAGAATCAAATCAAGAAACTGTTAGTTACTGGATTCACCTATAACATGCTGAACCTACAATCGTCTCTAGTTCTGCCATCCAATAGACTCACCATATAATGGTGATGACTTGTCTTCTCGGCGGGCCTCTGAAGTCGTCATTCAGCCGGTGCTCCAATATCCAAATAACCGCACCGACGATGAGGAAGAAAACACCCGTGACCACCCACATTGCTGGGGTGAAGGGTCTCATAAACGCCCATTCATTAGAGTTCCTCGTCATTACCGGCGCCACCACCACCAGCCCAGACTCGATGTACGGCTGTGTAAAGTCAGCCATCTTCGTCCGGTTAGTAATGATGGCAACATCGCCGACTATGCCGTCATAAACGCCGGCCGCCATCAAACGGACGAGCTCCGTCAAGCTGGGGTTGTCAACTCCGTCACCAAACGGGATCAGCTTGTAAGGCACGGCGTACGGCAACAGGTTGACGGCGGCCGTGAAGACGTCGATGCAGTACCCGGAAAACATATCCGTTCCGGGCACCTGAGCAATGAATTCACGGTAGCTGACCCGGTTAGGAACCCCGATCGCCAAATGTCTCCCGTTGTTTGGGAACACCCATCCCCGAGGCTTCTGGGTAGTCTTCCCAGGCCAGAAAACGGGTCCCAGATGCTGGTTTGAGCTGGACCGGTTGACCGGCTTCGAGTAGAGTGTTTCCGGCGGGTCAACGGAGAGACCCGAGTGATTCGACCAGTACCCGATCCTCTGATGTCCTGTCCCGATCACATTGATGACTTCGTATGCGGGGCGAATCAAGGTGTCCTTCTCTGGCGGCTCGAACTTGACCCGACCCGTCACTCCCAACATATCCACGTTTAAGATGCTCTCCAGCAGCTGTTTCCCGCCGTCCAGCATGCTCATTGCATCCAGTCGTAAGTCTCCTCCCCCGAGCTCCGCTAACCTAAAGAAAGCATAAATAACCAACGCAGCCGTTTCTCTCAGGGACATTATACCAAACACCTGGTGTGCATAAAAAAGAGAGTAACCAAACCAACCTGGAATCCTTTGAAAAGCTGACATTTCCCCCTTGGGCGAAGAATGCGTCGAGCGCTCGGGCCAGGATCCACACAGTGTCGTAAGCGTACAGGCCGTAAGCACTGAGCCCCATTCTCCCAGCGCCGGCTCCGGCGGTCAAGTTAGGCCACCTGGACGCGAACTCCGCCTTGAGCTGTGTATCGGGGGTGTGCATCCGAAGCGTGAGGACGCCCTGCACATCCTCCGCCGCCTCGGGAGCAAGATCAAGCTCGGTGTCGAGAATCGTGGAGAACCAATTGGTGGCTATCCAGACGTAGCCGGCGTTCATCATCCCGAGATACCGTGCGACGGTGAAGACCGTCGGCCCCCAATAATCCGGCACGTGGAGGACGAGAATCCGCGACTCGGTCAAAGCGACCTGGACCAGGACATCGGTGATCTCCTCCCTCGTGGCCTTGGGGCTGAGCGGCGCCTTGAACGAGATCTTGCATCTCTTGGCCGCCAGCTGGTCGCCGAGCGCCGCGATCCCGTTCCGGCCGTGGTCGTCGTCGCCGTAGATCGCGATCACCTCCCTCCACCCGTAGTGCTCCACGATGTCGGCGATGGCGGCCATCTGGTAGAGGTCGCTCTGCGACGTCATGACGAAGAAGGGGAACTGCAGCGAGTTGAGCGTCGGGTCGGTGGCTGAGAAGGAGAGCAGCGGGACCTGGAGCTCGTTCGCGATGAATGACAGCACGTGAGCTGTGACCGACGACTGGGGGCCGATTACGGCCACCGTCTTGCTCTCCATCAACCTCAACACTGCAATCAAATTAGGGATTCGGACACTGTTAAGCAACAAATGAGCAAACAACAAAAATGTTGATTGAGATTAAGATTAAGATTAAGATAGGCATTGCCTTCGACGATGCCGAGGAATCCGCTGAAATTGGTGTCGTGCACCGTGGCGAGGAGCTTGGTTTGGGGGAGAACGGAGGGGTCGGAGTTGACGTCGGCGACGGCGGCCTGGATTGCGATTTTGGAAACTTTGCCAATGATGGAGCCGAAGGAGAGAACCACTCCGATGTTGACGGACTCCGGCGGCGAGGAGGAGACGGCGCCGTTCAGATGAGCGGCGAGAATCAGGCAGTAAAGCAGGAGTGGAATCTGCATGGTGGAATTGTGGGCACAGAGAAACCCCTGGAGTGGAGGGGTTTTTGGAAGGAGAATGTTTGGTGGTGTGGGTCTGTTTCCTTACTGTTTTCCACTGGGAGCCGTACCGAAGGCTTTTTTTTATAACGGAATATAATTTCGGCAGGTGCTGTATAGTGTCACTATTAGGATATAGTGGATTTTTACGTGGTTGTATTCATTAATTAATTACTGGCCGTAGAATAGCTGACGAGGATACGTGTGGTGAATCGATTCTGCAGGTGGTGGCGGGAAAGAGATAACGTTTTAACGGGGAACGGAGAATGCGTTGGCGGTACAGTGAATGGTGGTGGAGCTTGCTTTCCGTCACTTTCGCCATTGTTGGCTCTTGTTTTGCTCTCGCGTTTTTTGGGGTTTAGCCAGCCATCATATGCTTGCCTGTGTTGTAAAAGTGACCACCTTCTTCAGTCCCCTCCACTGTGTAGTTACAGTAGTTAGTGTAACACTAACACCAAGATTTAGCAAAGAACTAGACTGTTGTAAGACTAACGGTTTTGTGAGGCCAAATAGTGGATTTCTGAATAGAAAACCCACAACGACTTCCAAATTCATTGAACTTTGGATTTTCAAAATCCTCATGCCCATCAATCAATCGGTCGATGAAAGAAAATTAGGAATTGGGTTGCACGATTCATTGACCGATGGATTGTTGAAAGATGCTCGATCATTCCAATTCCATGAGGCAAACAACCTCCTAGGGGTCATTTGGATGCAGGTCTTGGGTGTGGGATTTGGGTACAATCCTACATAATGTGGGATTTTATTAAAATCACTCGTTTGGAAAGCAATTATATGATAAGAGATTTTAAATATTAGAGATTTCAGAAACCCACAATTGTGGGATTATGAAATAGCTGATGGTGATCAGCTATTTTAAAATCCCACACAAATCCCACAAATTAAAAACCTAGGTTTTCAAACCAGTGATTTGAGCCAAAATCCCACAAATTAAAAACCTGGATCCAGATGACCCCTAGTGTATTTGATTGTAGTAGATGCATGACGGTATGCATAAAAGGAAACCGAGGAAGATGAATATTTGTAATAGGTTGAGACCTTGTCATCTGTTAATTGGTAGAGAATTACATGCAGAAAATGGAGAATAAAGGATGAGTTTAGGATGAATATTTGTTATGGCTGAATTAGTTCCAAGAATTAGGGAATTATAAGCAAAGTTACCAAACCAATTCCTTGTTGTTTTACTATGAAGAATCAATTGATACCAATATTTCGAGTTCCTTTATTCTGTTTACTTGTGGATTTTATACTGTTTACTAAAACACCCCCTCAAACGAAAGTCACCATTACCATGTCAAGAACCAGTTGGTCTCAATAACCGAGTTGGTCCCACCAACTCGGTTATTGAGACCAACTGGTTCTTGACATGTTATTTGAGCCTTCTGTGACTAAGAGGTTTTATGTATGAATCCCGATGACCCTCATCTGTTATGATAAGCATATTGTGTTTGAACTTGTGCAAACTTTAACCCCATATATGGTGGCTTTCGTTTGAGGGGTATGTTAGTAAACAATATGTTATCGGGATCAACTAGTTCTTGACAATTACTTGACAAAATTTTATAGCGGACAAATATGACAAACCACCATTTAGCTATTGCATTTATTTTTCTCGTTGTCAGAAATAAGTATTAAACTAACTTTGAGATTAGTCACAGTGTAAACTATCTTTTAGAAGTACTTAGATTTTGTAAATTTATAACTACACAGACTTTAAAGGGGCACATAAAAAAATTCCATCTGGTCAAAACGAGTATGCAAATCATGAATATCTCCAATAATAATAAAGGATTTGCATCTAGTGGTGGTTGATGTTGTACGTACATTACTAATTATGTCTTATTTATAATTTGAATGAGAAATTGTGTATTATAGATTATAGAGAGATTGTGAGCTTATAAATAAGCTGAGTTCGTGTCGAGCTTGAACTGTGCTTGAGACAAAATTTTAATAAATGAATTGATCTCAAACGCAACTCATTTTCTAACACCTTAGCTCAACGTAGATTAAGCTCGACTCAGCTCACGGCATAATTTTAACAAGTATTCGTACCTTGTTTTCTCTTGTGCATATCTACGGTTCTCGTGACACGTGGCATCCATTAGGGCTGGAAAATAGACCAGACCATTTGAAAAACCATGGACCAAACTGGATCACATAGTTTGGTCCATACTATAGGTCGTTAAGAATAATCTAGTCTGACCAATGGTATCTGTTATAGGATGTATTGATCTCTTGATCTGGTATGGTCAAGACAACGGTTTATCATACCAAACTGTGGACCCCACCCACTTCTCAATTTGTGTTAGCAATTCACTCGACCACTCTCCCCTCTCCTTAACGAGCTAAGTCTCAATCCTAAGTTTGCAAATACTATCCACCCCTTAATTCATAAACCATACTCTGCCAGAGGGTAGAGACAACCGTGTCTCCATACGATATTATGTTAATATTATGATGTTAAGATGCAAGCTGGATTGCCCTGACTTTGTGTTTTTGTCATTTATGGTATCAAAACTATACAAGCGTGTTAGAATTTATGTTTGAAGGTCAAAATAGAATCCCCCCCCCCCCCCCCGGTTATTTATGTGCTTGACTAAACAAACTTCTAATTTTTTTCATCAATATGATCCGCATGGTGCAGATCATATCGGACCAAACTGCACCAAACGTGATCTAGTTTGGATCGTCTAATATTTAATTTAATTCCTAATCTATACTCTTAACTTTTGATTTTGGACCACGAACCATTTGCATGATCCCATCCGATCAGACCGCACCGATTTCCAGCTTATTGTCGATAGCAACACCTGCAGGGCCAACCACGGGTAGCAGTAAGACAATTTTGGAGGGGGCATAGGCCAATGGCATGCTGTAGGGGAGGGTTTGGTGTTTCCTAACCTAACCTGAACGTAGGCGTGCAAAGGGAAGGGGATGATGAACGAACCCCCACCAATTACTCGCGCAGCTGACTGTATATGCAAATGCTGTGGTAAGTAACTGTGATTGCGACGTTGGCTCGGAGAGGCAGCCGTACCATAAAGCGCACTTGCTTAGTTAAGCACTCTGTCAAATTAACTAACTACTTGTGCCCGCTGATGAGATGGATTCCACATCGCCTTATATGCTTTTGGAGATTGAAATGTTAGAGCAGGCCGACTTTCATTTCATTCCTACCTAATTCTCTGCTTTAGCCACTAGCCCACCATCAAAACTTGTTTGGGAAATACATATGTACTAGTGAAGAAGTGAAATGAAGAAGTTGCAAGGTTTTAGAAAGTTAGGGTACGTTATAGGTCACTCATAAGAGAAAAGCCATTCTATTTTTGTACCTAAAATAATTTTAATAGTATTTTTCATTAAAAATTTAGGCATCAAACTGTAAAATATACAAAGTATAGGTACTAAATTATAATTTTTCAAGTATTGATGAATGATATCCATGAATCCACCAATCCAATGGAATTTGGAGTAAACGGATCATATTAGTTGAATTTTTTGGTGAATTAATTGAATTAAATTAATGAATTGAATTCGAATTTTCACAACTAATCACACAGTGAAAAGACTTCGAATGTCCTTTGGCCGAGGTAGAACTACAGCAGGCTCGGGGAGCCCCAGCCCCCCCTAGAAGTTTGCAAGTAACGAAAATATTGCTCGAATATTTTACGGATAAAATAGGTGAGTGGATAAATTCAACAAGCATGCCGCGAATTAGGAAAGAAACAATTAGCAGCCTAGAGGATGCATGAGTGTAGCATCATTTCGTTGTTGTGGTTTGGATCCTTGGTCATAGCAAATCAATTGTTATATGGTTTTCATTTTTCATTTGCTTATACAAATGAAATAAACTGTTTAGTTTTGTGCAATTGATTTTTAAGTTTTTAATTTGTTAAGATTTTAACATTGAAGTAACGAGAATCATTGCTAGTGTAGTGTAGTTCTATATGTTTTTCATTTGATTAAACAAATGAAATAACATGTTTAGTTTTGGTCTATTGATTTTTAAGTTTTTAATTTCAAGTGAGATCAATTAAGTTCTTTAAATTTTAAGTATATTTTCATATATATAATTATTGTCTTACACAAAATAGTAATGAATTGTTAATTATTTCTAATTTGTATTGAACTTAATGTGAAAGTTTATATCCTAGTTGAAGTGATTTTAATTATCTCAATGAATATTTTGTGAGTTTACCATATGGAAGATGGCAAAGGAGGTTTGGCCGAGTAACCATATTCTACTTTGGCTGTAAATAATCTGAGAGCAGAGACATGAAAAGATATAGAGGTGAATATACATGGTCCAAATTGAGGGTATACATAGGAAATAATTGCTACATACATACAAACGCGCTCTGAATTACAACAGTATATATGACAACACGTAAAAGGCCAACCAAACGAAAGCATAGGATTGGAATTTGGAGTTCCCTTTACTTTCTTCTTTTCCTGAAAATGGATAGGGGAAAATTTTTCTAATCTAACCAATCTCATCAAAACCTAGTTCCGGCAAAATCCCATCAACTACTAGCAGGAACAAATATGGCATATAACCCAGAAGAGTAGTTCCTTCAATTATGGTATAACACAACAGCATATGCAAGGTAGAAGAAATGAACTCAATCAAGCACACAGCAAACCCAATTCACAGACTGTCCACAAAGTTCGTTCGCCTCTTCTCTTCAGAAGGCTTTCCACTCATCAGAACTTCTTTTCGCCGACGGTGTCGCACCGCCGTCCAATGACGTCCTAAATGGTCCACTAGACCCAAATGGATCTGAATCGAATGATGAAAACCCATGGTCCTTGGAGTCATGCCCAGAATCGAACCCAGAGTCATGACCACCACCAAATGAATCGAACCTCGAAAACCCTCGACCTTGATCAGAATCCCCAGAATCCCTGAACGAGTCAAACCTCGACGGGAATCCTTGGCTGTGGTCGGAGTCCCTGAATGAATCAAACCTCGACGGGAATCCTTGACCCTGGTCGGAGTCCCTGAACGAATCGAATCTCGAGAATCCATTGCCCTGATCCGAGTCCCCAGGTTCTCTGAATGAATCAAACCTTGATGGTAACCCATACCCTTGGTCAGAGTCTCTCGTGCTTCTGACTGAATCAAACCTTGCAAGAGAAGGGCCTGCTGAAGATTGAAACGCGCTGGTACTTTCATTCAAATTGAACGAATCGAACCTGGAGAAGCTGTCAAAGGAGTGATCTTCTGGGCCAAAATTGTAGGCGGGTGTGCCCGGGACAGAATCAGCGAACGAGGAGAATGTGCCTTTCCTCCCTAGGTCATAAGCAGGGGTGCTTGGAACAGAATCAGCAAACCCGAATGAGCTCATTCCCTGCTGCTGATTATGGGCAGGGGTACTAGGAACCGAATCAAACATGATAGAGTTTCTCCCTTGGTTATATGCAGGGGTTCCAGGCACAGAATCAAACCCAAATGAGCTCTTCCCTTGGTTATATGAAGCAGGA